GCCCTGTCGCTAGAGCTGCCACGCGTTGCGCGCGAGGACGCCGGGGGCCGAAGCGTGCAGCCAGCCTGCCCACTGTGCGGCACGGAACATGTACTGCGATGGGTTCCACTCCGCTCGACGCTCAAGCGTCATCCGCTCCAGGCTGGATCTGTTGAGCCTCCGATCCTCGTGCGCAGCCAGGCGGAGATGCGCCGCTTGCGCCAGCGCGGCCAAACTTCCGAATTCCTGTGGCATGCCGAAAATTCCAATCAAACTGCCAGAAATCTTCTGGCGTCGCCCAGTCACCAGGGCCAGGGGCAGCTCGTCGCAAGGCCCACCCCTCCAGCGCGTCGACAGCGTCATCCACGTCCGCAATCTGGGCAGTGAAACTCAACACTGGGAGCGCGCACACATTGTAGACAAACGTAGCAAAATAAAAACCCGGCGCCAGCCACGGCCATCCAGACACGCGATCCTGGAAACGCGCAGCTGCACGATCCCACTCCTTGCCAACCTTCCCGGGGCCGAGGTAGGTGGCATCGCGGGACAGGGGGAGCTGGGACCAAGACGGCGCAGATTCGCTGACCACGGCACGTGCTTCCTCCAAAATGTCGCCCCGAAATGGGATGCCAATTGTCTTCTGCAGATTGACTCGCATGCCTGGGAGGCGGCCGAACTTTCAAACGCGGCAGCAAGGATCGGCAGTTGCTTGGGCACGTCGCCCAGGAGGATACTCACGTAATCGGCGAACGCGCGGATGGGGAAGCCGCCGCCGAGTCGGAGCTGGAGCACGCGCAGGAGTAGATCCATGCAGGCAGCAAAAACCAGAGGCGGCAGCGGACAGCCTTGGCGGATGCCCGATCCAACAGCAAACCCTCCCCATAAACCACAAACGACCGCGATTGAGCAAGCCCCGTCCGCGTGGAACGCTCGGAGTGCAGTCAGGGCCTCTTCCGGCACGACGTAGCCGCGCAAGCACCCGTGCTGGAAGTCGTGCGCCACGCTGCCGAACGCAGCGCGGAAGTCCACGAGCACTACCATGCCCTGGGCACTCTTGGCCGCGGTCCGAAGAGCGCCCGCCTCCAACTCGATGACGTTCAATATCATCGAGCGGCCAGGCACGGAGCCGCGCTGGGGTTCGGAGACCCACGGTCCGAACCCCTGCTCCCACCTCCGTTTGTACGCCGAGGTGAGCAAGCGATTCGACACGTCCACCAAGCATAGTGGTCTCGTGCCTCCGGCTTGGTGGACTGCGCCTAGCACTGGGTCCATGCCTGTGCTTTCTTCGGAATGCAGCAGAGCACGCCGAGGCTGAAGGATCCTCTCCCGTCGGGGTCATCTCGGTACGCCTTTCTGATATCGTTCACTGCGGAATCGGACCAGAGGCACGTAGCCACATCCTCCAGCGCGTCGACCGCCAAACTCCCGAGACGCTTCCACAGCTATGCCGGGATCCCATCCGGGCCAGGCGCAGAGAGTCGGACGCCGCGCGAACAGCCCACGCCATGTCCGCCATGGTGGTGTGCCAGAACTTGCTGCCCCGAGGCAGCGGGCTGCGTTCCCAGGTGGGCGCCGCCTCGCGCAACCACGCTGACAAGGCATCCTGGTCGATATCTTGCCTGCCGGATACGTGTCTCCAGTGCTGGGCCAGCGTGTTGGCGATCTGGTCTGGGTCCGTGGTCACCGAGCTGTCGGGCTTCTGGATTGCACGGGGTTGGGCGGTGCCCAGACATATAAAAACACGTAGTGCGAGCTCGGGACAAGCATCTTGGATACACCCTTGAGAGGCCTGGACACGTTAAAACACGTGGCCCTTGCTCGGGACAGTCATGTCAGATACGCCCCTTGGTGGCCTGGACATATAAAAGACACCTGGTTCCAGTTCGGGACAATCATGTTAGATACCCCGCTGGGTGGCCCGGACGGGAAAAAACACGTGGTTCCAGCTCGGGACAACCATGTTAGATACCCCCCTTGGTGACCTGGGCCCTCGTGGGGCCTCCTGGAGGAGGGAGGGCCAATCTATAGGAACACAAGCAAAAACACACGGATTCATGCCACTGATCCAAATGTGTCCCGCACCCTGTGATTTATCGATCGGGATTTCAAAAACCAGCGTTTCGCTAGGGACATCCTCACCTTTTTAATTCGCCAGCCCTACGCGACCTCGTTGTTGATCGTACAAGAAATTCGCCGGCCCGTCGCAAGTAAAACCACGGCCCTTGGTTTACCAACGAAAGGAAAACCCTGGGCCGACGCCCTTTCCGGGAAGAACTGTTTCATCTCTTGGGGGCCCATCCTGTACTTCCGCCGCCTTCCGCCGAGCTTCCGCCAGCTTCCGCCTCGCTTCACTTCCGCCTCGCTTCACTTCCGCCGACTTTCCGCCGCCTCCCGCGGTCGAAGAGATGACAACTCCCCCGATCCTCGAAGGCACGGCCCTTCTTGGAACGCCCCATCTGGGCCCCACCCCCTCCTCCCCCTCCTCCTCCTCCTCCTCCTCCTCATCCTCTTCCTTCTTCCTCCTCCAGCTCCTCCTCCTCAGTCAGGAGGTGGCCAGACGCCACCAGGCAGTGCGCTCGGCTTTTTATTGCCTGGGCGGATTATGTTCGTTGTCGCTACCTTGGAAGTTCACGCGTGCTATTTTTGTTTATCTCTGGTGCAGAGTTCTGCCCTTTGCGGTCTTGAGGCTTTTTTGCTTACCAAGCAGCAGCGCGCGAAGATTGACGCTACTGTTGCACATTTTGCTCGCGTCTGCATGCGAGGACGTGCCAGTTGGGTGACTGCGACGGGAGCGACACGGACCCTCACGAACAAAGCAGTGCTGAAACATTGGCGTATGTGCAAGACCTTCGTCGAACTCGGAATTCGCCGCCTGAACTGGTACAAATCCGGGTCGGCTCATCCGAATAGTCACGCACAGCTTCTCGCGGCGCTCTTTGGGAAGGTACGCATCGAGAACGGGCCCGCACCAATGTTTGATGGTTACCTAACCCCCAAGGCTTCCCCGTGGGCCTCGAGAGTGGTGGAGGACCTCCGTTGGGCACAAAAACATATTCGTGACTACGAGGACTTGCTCGGAGAAATCGCCAATCGACCTGAGCTCATGTGGGACCCCGACGTTCGACCTGCTTTCTTGAATATTGACTTTACGGTCATACGAGGATGTTTGTTTGGATCGGCTATTGCGCCCCATGGTTCCATTGAGGAGGAGGAAGAGGAGCACGTGATTTCCGAAGAGGATGGATATGAGGCGGGGAAAGAATTTCGATGTCACTTCGAGGGATGCGAGGAGGCGCTCGAGACCCGGAAAGGCCGCATGGCACACATGCGTTCACGTCACGACCTCCGCTGACTATGTCATTTTCTCACGCCATGCAACACATGCATCTGTTGTAGAGAGGCATCATGGGACAAGGCTTGTGCTGCTCGACATCTGGTGCTTGCCATGCAACGGGGTCATTGTCGGTTCGGGGGAGGTAGGGCGTTTAGACCCGTGGCACCTCCCTCGTCGCTGCCATGCCCCCAATGTGATCACGAAGCATCTGAGTTGGACGAACTATGTCAGCATCTGCGTAGCCACTTGCCTGGCCCAGTCCTTTCCTGTCGGCGCCGTGCACAGCTACATCCTACAGACGATGGGGGAGCCGGCGCCTGCGGCCTGGCTGCAGGCGACGGCGGACGCGAAGAGCGCGCTTGGGGACCATGCCTCGGAAGAACAGCCAGTGAAGCACGCCAAGGGCCGCCAGAAGGGCGAGAAGGGCGGGAAGGACGTCATGACTGCGCTCGTCCTCTTTCTCACCAAGCTGTGCCTGTCTTCGTCGCGCGAGCTCGCGAACCTCGCGGGCACGGTGTTCCAGACGCGGGAGCTCGCCGAATCGGGGGGAGGCATCACCGAGATCATGATCCATTCAGGCATCAAGTACGACGAAACATCCAGAAGTATGAACGAACGACAGCGAGCAAGCGAGCCGGTAGACTTCCGTGCTCGAGGACCCCCACACGTCCAGTGGGCCGCCGCTTCGGTCTATCTCATCAACAAGGCGTCGGCCTTCCTGGACGGCAAACCAGAGTACATCGAGGGCGAGAAGAAGCACTGTCACGAGTACTTCTCGAGGGCAAGCGTGTGCTCCACTCCCGCGATCGGAAGTGCAAGGGCAAGAAGAACGCGGAGGCGGACAGCGTTGCAGCCAGCAGCCAGCAGCAAGAGCAAGAAGGGCCGCCTGACGTTTGCCTTCAGCTTCTACGCGGCGGGCTCGCAGGCTCGGGAGATCCTCACCCGGTACCTCAACCACGAGACCGCCCAGGCGGTGCAGTTGGTGGGTCCTGCCCCGAGGGGCCCTCTCGAGCGCGAGGCGGCCCACCTCCTGGACTTGATCGGGAAGAAATGAGCCAACGAGAGCAGCGGACAAAGCATCCTTACCAAGTGAGTGGGGAAAGGGGACAGGAGCAGGATCGAGGAGACGTAAGACTCGGGTGCGGGGGACTCGGGTTGGCCCGACGGGGACCATCATGAAAATGGCGAGACCCAATCTGCAATTTGACGCGGTGCTCCCGCTGCAGACATCCCACGAAAATGGGACCGCCCAAATCCAAGACGCGCTCGTCAACAAAAAAGTCGGCAAACCCGAGTTCCGGCTTACTCGAGTCTTACGTTTCCCCGATAGGAGCAGAGGCCGAGGTAGAGATAGGATGAGTAGTAGCACGAACTTGACTTCAAGCAAAGGGGCTTTCTCGGGCAGTTAGCGTTTGGCCAGTTCAGTGGCCCGAGGAATCATCCCCGACCCGTTTGGAGCCTCTAGCTTCAATACATACGTTAACCCAAGTCTTCCCCCATTCCACTCGTGGTGGCCCCCAAGCGGGTCCCACGGAGGTCGAAGGGCAGCAGCAATGGCCGAGGACCCAGCCATGAGTCCGTCCCCTGGGTGGTTCTCCCAGTGCGCCTGCGTGGCGTCGTGGGAGTTCGCCACCGTTCGGGGGCGGTGCTGGTCCCGCCAGTGGGGGTCCCCCCGTCTTTCACACAATTAACCCGCATACCTCTAGGTCGGGTTGCGCAGAGTTCTTCCCATGCTTATTGGAATGAGGTCGGGCAACTCAGTTGGACTCCCCGCGCACTGCTCATTGCTCATTGCTCCTCCTCCTCCTCCTCATCCTCCTCCTCTTCCTCCTCCCCGTCCTTCCCCCCTCCGCCTCCTCCTCCTCCTGCTCCTCCTCCTGCTCCTCCTCCACCTCCTCCTCCTCCTCCTCCTGCTCCTCCTCCTCCTCCTCCTGCTTATCCTCCTCCTCCTCCTCCTCCTCCTGTCGTTTTCGTTATGTTCTCGTTTTCCCTCGTTCTGTCTTCAATCCACCTCAAATTTCTTCGTTATCCTCGTTTTCTTTTTGTTTCGTTTATCGTTTTCCTCGTTTTCCTCTACCGCAAAACGAAGTCGGAACGAAAACGGCCCACGAAATCGCCAAAACACCGCGTAGGTCCAGCCCTGCCCGACGATAGGGGCTCGACCACAGGAGACCCTCCGCAAGAAACCCAACCCTGAGACCCCAGGACGTCCACTGATCCTTGGCGTGGGAACGTCGCGCCTTCCACAGCAAAACCATCGAAGCCCAAGAGACCCAAGGCACCCTGGAGGCAAGCAGGGCGTTTCCTGGCACGAGCCCCCACTGCATCCCCAGCTGGGGGCGGCATCGTGTGGACCCCCCTCGCAGGAGATGCAGCCCCTGTTGATGGTGGTGTCGCCTCTCCTTCCTCTCCCCCTCGTTGAACCGCCGGCGGAAACCGCGCACCGAAATCGGCGACTCCGAAGGCTGTGGCCCGACAAAAAGGTTGTGGCTTGCAATCCGCACCACCACCGCCGCGCCCCGACGAGGGCTCACGCAACCTTTGGCGCAACGCTGTGACCCCCCTAAACCCCAACGGCGCCGATCGCAAAACAGAGCCCGGCGTGACCACACCCTCTCTAGTCGCCGACAAGAAGGCCGCTCCGCCGAAGGGCCACGCTCCCTTCCGTTGGACGCGGCCAGGGGGTCTGAACTGATCGGGATCCTAGAAGGATGAGGCCGAATCTGCTCAGAATTAATCCCGGACCCCTCCAAAGTCCACATCCGCGCAGTTTTTCAAAAATCTGCCCGAACCACGCGCCTCGAAACACGGCAGGAACAAGTGCTAGCAGAAACAAAAACAGAAGCATACTGTCGGCGCTCCGCGCAGATTTCTTGGACCTGCGCTGGCGCCGGGGGCTGCGCCAGGGGCGCCTAGCGCGGATCCAAGAAATCTGCGCGGAGCGCCAAAAGTTTAGGTTTGGGCCGTCCTTCCTTCGTCGAAGCGCTGGGCCACCTCAGACCCCCAGACGGCTCCAGCCCGCGCGCGCGGTCCGCGACCTGTTGAGCAGGTACGCGCAGCCTGACAGGAGCCGGGCGGCCAGCAGCGGCGCCCTCTCGCCCCTCTCGTCGGCCCTGGCGGCGGCTGGGGGAGGGCCGAGGCGGACGGGCGGGGAGGCGCAGGCCGAGAGAACTCCGCAGCTACGGAACCAACTGGGGAGCCACCAGGACAATGGAGGGGCCCAGGGACACACAAGTAAATGCACACGGATCCGAGGGTTTCTTTCATATTTTCCCACATGTTTGTGATGTTCGTCTTCCCCCCCACTGGCCATGATTTCCATATAATATTTCGGGGGAACCGACGGTTAATTGTGTCTGTGTGATCATTCTTTCTGAAACTACGGAACCAACTAGGAAGCCACGAGGATAAGTGCCGGGCTCTGGACACCCTGAACCATAAAAGACAGGCTATCTCTTGGGAGACAGACGTTTACTTCCGCCGGCGCCCGCCAGCGTCCACCAGCGGATGCGGCGGCCTCGTTCTACTTCCGACGCCTTCCGCCGAGTTCCGCCGAGGAAGAGGTGGCAACCCTTTCGACTCTCGAAGGCGAGGCCCTATTTGGAACGCCTCAAATGGCGGCTACCCTAGCCGCGGGATGGCACCGCTGAAAGGAAACCCTGTGCGCGGATGACGCCCAGCCCGTCTTGAGATTTCTCAAGGCAGGGGAACCGGAGAGGGGGAACGAACGATGCTGGCCTGCTGTTCGTGTTGCAAATCGTCCCGCCCTCCATGAGGGAAAGAGGTGGCCCTACCCCCGTCCAGAAGCCAAACAGTCCAGAAACAGGAGCCGGCCACGGTTGCAGACTGCGCCTCCGGGCCAGCAAGCGCCACAACGTGCTGGTGCAGACTTCTGGTGTGTACGGTCGGGAACTTTTGCTTAGCTTGTCGTGGCGCCGGCCCTGGCGATACGCCATGCCCTGCGAGTGGATGGCGTGTCGCTCTGGTCCGCGGGGCGGGAGGTCGGGAAAGGCTTGGGACGCTGGCGCTGGGGGGTCGGGAAGTGGATAGTGTTTCGCGCACACGCGTGGTGGGCCAGAGCCAGCGGAGCAACACGATATCTAAAAGTTCCCAATCATAAAGAGCCACAAGGTTAAAAGGCGGCTACCCTAGCCGAGTGGTGGCACCGCTGATGGTAACCCCGTCCGCGGGTGACACCCAGCCTCAGCCCTCATATGTTTCAAGGCTTAAAAGCAGGAGTAACCTTCTGCGAAGACGAAGCCAAGACGAGTATAACATCGGGTGAAGATAAATCGAGAATCTCTAAGACCCGCCGGCTCTGGAGCATGTCTCGGGCGCCGCGGCCTTCTCAGAGCGTTCTGGATCGCTACGAGAGCGTTCCGGAACGCTCTGAGAACGGATTTGTCCTCGCCCGAGCGCCGTCCGATCTGTTCTCGTTGCAGAGAGCCCCAACCTCTCCAGGGGGGGGAACAAGCGATCCCAACCCCCCGTGCGGAAGGCAAGCCGTGGGGAAACGCGGGGGCACGGCCAGACCCTGCCGAGGGCGCCCCCCGCGCCAGCAGGCGCCGAGACCTGCTGGTGCTAGCTTCTGGTGCGAGCGGCCAGGCACTTTTGCTCAGCGTGGGGGGGCGATCGTTGAGCACAGCCCCCACCAACAGCCTGGCCTGGCGCAAAGCCGAGAAGCGGGGGCCGTGTGCAAACGTGATCGGCCTACGAGCCCGAAAAGGAAGATGGACATGTGCAGCATGGCAGCGAGTTCGGGCGACGGGCAATTGCAATGCTGAGCGAATCCATCGTGATGTACCGTGCCAAAGGCAGTGCTGTGCTGTGCTGCGCCGTGCTGAAATGCGATGTGCCATGCCGCGATTGTGCTTTATAGCGTTGTGAATCGAGCTCTCCTTAGCATCGGAGTCCTGACCGAACTGATCTGGATCTGAAGCTCGAGCGGCCTGAGCACACAGTAGCTTGTCCAGAGCTAGTTGAAGTCGAAAAGTGCGGGACGTTTAGTCAACTCGAACTCAAAATCCGACTCAGCTCCGAAAAGGGACGACACGACGCGGGGCACAGGCTCACGGACGCGCCACAGAATGTGCCAGGGGCGCAATAGGGGATGCGCCAGGGGACGTGTCAGGGGACGTATCAGGGAACGTGCCCTGGACGTGTCAGGGACCTGCCACGGAGCGTGCCAAGGCGCGTGCCGTGGGGTGGGCCGGAGGACATCATGCCAGGGGACGGGCAGGGGAAACGCCTGGGGACGAGCCAGGAAACGCGACAGAGGACGAGCCAGGGAACGTGCCACGCCGAGTGTGTTAGACATCTGTCTGGGCGACCTGGGCACGTGAAAACGGGCGGTTCGCTCGAGACATTATCAACGCATCTTCATGTTAGACATCCGCCTGAGCGACATGGGCACGTGACAACATCGGGACAATCTCAACACACCCTCATACTAGACATCCACCTGGGCCCTGGGCGACCTGGGCACGTGAAAACAAGCGGTTCGCTCGAGACATCCTGACTACATCCTCAAGTTGGACATCTGCCTGGGCGACCTGGGCACGTGGAAACAAGCGTGACGCTAGGGACATCCTCTTCGCACCTTCTTGCTAGAGATCCGCCTGGGCGACATGGACATTGGAAAACAAGCTCTCTGCTCCAGTCTCCCCAAACCCTGCAAAACGAGAGTTTCGCCTGAGATATCCAGAGCAAGCCATGTAAAGCAATAGTATCGCTCAAGACATCCTCAACACATGATCGACCCACAAACCTGGAAGGGAATGTAGACATGTGGAGCATGGCATCGTTTCCAAGACATCAAACCTGGGCAACGGGCAATTACAACGCTCAAGGTAATGATCTTGATGTACCGTGCCACGGGCTGTGCTGTACTGCGCCGTACTGTGCCATGCTGTGCTGAGTTCAACGTGTGACGCCCTGTTGAACCGTGCCACGCCCTGTTGTATTGCGGATCAAACCGTCATTGGCGTCAGAATCGTGGCCGAACTGATTTAGATCTTAAGCTCGAACTGCCTGGACGCATAGCTCGGGCTAGTCGTAGTCGAGACGCGCGGGGCGCTCGACCAGCTCAAGCTCAAAATCCGATGCAATTCCGAAACCATCGCCCGAGACATTCAATTCCGCAACGGAGCGAACCGACCGCGACCACGACAGGCGGGGGAGAAACATGCCGGGCGCGCAACCAGCTCGAACTCAAGATCCCATTCAATTCTGAAGTGGGACAAACTGATCAAAGGGCGAGCCCGAGCCGGAACGAGAAGCACCGAGACGACGACAAAGGTCCCCGCTCGACACCTCCTCAACCAACGGAAAAAAACAGCGTTTCACGAGAGACGTCCTCAATCAATCCTGCAGAAGGAGCCTTCTGCTGCAGGCGTGGGTCCCCTTTTCCCCAGGAATAAAGCGAGGCGGGGGTTTATCCATATCCACCGCCTCGGAACCGACGTCCTGGTGCCCCAGACGGGCGGTGGATATTGATATATTTCGGCCCCCGGGGGCCCGAATATGTCAACATCCACCGCCTGCCGAGGCTCCGAAAACTGACCCTCCAGGCGGCGGATACGGATACACTCCCGCCTTGGAACTAAGGGTGAACACGCGTGGGCCCTTTTCGCCCCAGAGCGCAGCAAACGTGAAATCACGCGGGTCAATTTCGCTCCAGAGCGCAATAAACATGAAAACGCGTGAGTCACGTTCGCCCCAGAGCGGAACGTGCGTGCAAACACGAGGGTGCCTTTTCGCCCCAGAGCGCAGCAAGCGTGAAATCATGGGGGTCCCTCTCGCTCCAAAGCGGAACAAGCGTGAAAACACGTGGGTCCCTTTCGCCCCAAAGCGGAACAAGCGGGAAAGCATGCCCCAGAGCGCAGCAAGCGTGAGAACACGTGGGCCCCTTTCACCCCAGAGCGCAGCAAGCGTGAAAACACGTGGGCCCCTTTCATCCCAAAGCGGAGAAAGCGTAATGGCGTGGTTTCACGCTTGCTCCGCCCTGAGGCGGAAGGTGCCCACGTGTTTTCACTCTTGCTCTGCCATGAGGCGAATGGGATCCACATGATTTCACGCTTGCCGCGCCCTGAGGCGAAATGGACCCACGTGTTTTCACGCTTGTTCCGCCCTGGAGCGAAAACGACTGGGGCGAAAGGGACGGCCTCTCCACTTCTCCAAAACGAGCGTTTCGCTCGCGACATCCTCGAGCGTGGACGCTAAAAGTAAAGTTATGTGCTTCAAAATTGCAGGGTCTCCGGACCGAATAGTTCATCGAAGATTATGCGCAAAACTCCGCGCCGATTTTTCAGCATGCAGAACGAGGGTCATCGGAAGTCGTTTTTGTATCGGGGATTCGACATGGAAGGCACATTTCCTTCGAGTGGGCACGCACGAAACGCGCTGCTTCCACGCCGAATGGATCCGCGGGCCCACCCCCAACATGGCACCAGGGACGCATTACCATCCTCAAAGAGAACCCTAGGTCGGAGCCCTCTCGGCCAACAGATTTGCCGGCCCACCCCGCCCGCGTCATTTATCCAAGAACTTCTTGAGAAGATGGAAAAGGGTGTGGTGTAGGGGTGTGGTGTGGACGCCCTGCATGCCCATGGAAACAACGATATGGGCGACTTCACTGCGTCGCCATCTGCGACGCACGCGGCCGAATCCAAAGCAACGCCGGCACCGCTGCTCCAAGTGGGCAACGGCGAGGTGGAAATGAATGCGAGGGGCATACAAACGATCGGATGGTAATGCAAAACGGACGTGGACCTCTAGTGCGCCACACAAACGCGAATCAGACGCAGTGGCACGATTGACGCAATCATCGCGTTGAGAGGGTGTTCCGCGCAAGCCCAACGTCGGATCGCGGGAAGCGCTCGGTGCCCTAGAAGGCCTGCGAATATGACCACCCCCCCGACTCGTCAAAATGCGAAGGACCCTCTTCTACCGATCCTTCCTGTCGCACCGCTCCCCGCATAATTGCCCCATCGCTTTCCAAAGGAAACATTACTTCCTATGTGCCTCCCCCTGGCCACGCCGCGCGCATGGGCGCGCGCGGCAAGCCTGAGCCGCGCGACTCTGTCACGGGGGGCGAGGAGGACGCTGGGAGTCCGCCCTCCCATCGTCGGATTCGTTTGAACGCGCTGAATGGAAAACGCGGACTGGACACGACGCCGAACACAAGAATGCATGGCCGCGTAGAGTTAATAATCAGGCGCATCAACACACGCCCCTTTACGTTGCAGCCCGGCGACAAGCAGAGACCCCAGGCGCGCCCCCTCCCCGATTTGCATGACCCACGAAAGAAAGTACCACTAGGTCGGCCACTGGCCCAAGGAGCGCAACGCGCGGAATATCACGCGTCAGCGGTCGGGCTGCTTCGGCGAAATTCCACCGGCAAACGTGAGCGGTCGCATCCGTGTTTCCTTGGGCTGGCCTAGCTAGGCGCAGGAGAACATGCGAATTGCGGCGTCGCGGCAAAGTGGCCCGCAGCATGCGGGCGCGAATGGGCTGGGCAGGCTGTGGGGGCAGGGCGTGGGGAAACGTAGGATTCTGCGCGTTGCTCAAACGTCTGCCGAAAAGGGCCCTGGAAGTCAAAACGGTACCCGCGGCGATTTCAATCTGCCGCCGTGCCAAAACTGCGATGTAGGGCGGCCTCTGTTTCAACGCTCAAGCTCCACCCCCCGCCCGCGAAACAATCATCGTAACAGATGCGCTGAGCTGCGCTGCCCTGTAAAAGCACAGTGCGAGACATGTTTGGCCCGCCCCGCAATTCCCCTGCATTTAATTTCGTGACTTCGCCACTCAACTGTCTAAAGCGCCGACTGGTCTCTCTGACGCACTTTCATTATCTGCCTCCTCCTGCATCGAGGTTTTCCCTGCATCCCCCATCCGCCGGCACCCGGCTAAACTGCGATCGCACGCAACTGCGCACGAATATATCATGGTTTCGCCTCCTAGAATCCGAACTATCGAAAACGAAATTTCGGAATTGCCGTGTTATATATACATATATATACATACATATATATATACATATATATATATAAGAAAGAATAATCACAAAAAAAAAAAAAAAAAAAAAAAAAAAAACGGGAATATCCGAAATTTGAAAAAACGAGCATCCGGAAATTCCGAAATTTGAAGAGAAAAAAAAAAAACGAAATTCCGGAATTTCCGAACATTCAAGATTGCTTGTTTTTTCACCGGCAAAACGAAATTCCGGAAATTCCGAAATTCGGGAAAAACGGAATTCCGAAATTCCGAAATGTGAGAAACGAAATTCCGGAAATTCCGAAATTCCAACGCGAAAAATTCGAAATTCCAAAATTTGAAAGCCAGACCCCTGGAACCTCAGAGTCGCCAGAAGAGGCGGCCACCGCGTGACGCGCCTTCATGTCCAAGAAAAGCTCCGCCAAAGAACCACCGGAGAAGCGCGAACGAGCCTATCCAGATCTCATTGGGCGGCATCTCATCACGGGTGCGCCCGCGGCGCCAAAATTTGCGTTCTAAGCTAGCTTCCTGGCGAGAGACCCGACCGCGTGACTTCTGCAACTCCGCCGAAGAAGCATCGTCAAAGCTCGGGATCCCCATGGGCCCGCGAGGCGTCGTACGTGGTTGGACACACGAATGCGAGTGCAGCCACTCGGGCCTGCGGTGGAAACCCCCGTGGGGCTACGAAACGCTGCGCGGGATAGAGAAACCGCAACGAATTCTAACACTGGGGCCTTCGACGGGCCCCCCATGGGTCCATGAACCACCGTGGCGGGTGCGGGGAACGCATTCGAATTCCCTCGCCGGGGCATTCGGTGGAGCTCACAATGCACCGCACGCTGCGCTGAACGGGGGAAGCGCATGCGGTTTCCGCCACTGGGACCTCAGGTGGCGCTTCGCTTTGGGCTTCGAAGCGATGCGCTGGGCGAGGGGAGCGCATGCGAGATCCGCCGCTGCTGCTTTCGGTGGAGCTCCATATGTGGCCAAGAAGCGTTGCCATGCGCCGCGGGCGAGTTCTACCACTGACACATTCGAAGGCGTTCCCAATCAGGCCACCGAGCGCTGCATCGGGAACGCGCGCGTGCGCGGTGGGGGGGTCACGGGCGAGAGAAAATTCGACAGGGCCCAGTGCTGCGAGCTGGGGGTCGCAGGCCACTGATGATAGCAATCGCGGTAACGACAAAGCCTGTTATCACCCATGCGCAATCGCCGAAACGGCAGCCACCGCGCAATGCTACCGCGGCAGCCATTGACAAAAAGACGTCGCCGACGACTGCAACCATAATTCAGAAGGGTACCGCTGCCGACTGCACAGCGCCGCACGCGCGACGACCTCATACCCGCAAGAAAAGCGAAACGACAGCGGATCAACTCATACGCTGGGTGGGGATGGAGGGCGGCGAAAAGCATATGAGGACAGACCTGTATAGAACGATCAAGGCCGGGGAGAGAAGGATGAGAGAGCTGGGAAGACGTTGTTTTTCTAACGGAACCAGGTTGTCGGCAGTAACGCGGCAACACTGCACACCGGGCGCGCACAAACACAAACAAAACCAAACAGTCGAGCAAACAAAGAGGCATCGCATCAATGGCCACTTGACCACCATCGTTTGGATGCGCCAGAACTGCAGTGCGAGAGCAACTGCAACCACGAACGCATGCGCATCTCAATATGATGCATCAGCTCCAAAGCGAACCACATCAACCATAAAATCACCATACCGCCCCATTTAACCATACCCTTTTGCACCGCACCCCTTTCCCCCCTCTAGAAGAACAACTCAGCCTGCCCACCCCCAGCCTGGCACCGGGGACAGCTACATTACTAAAAGACAACCCTTGACCAGAACCCCGTCCAGGAACATGAAATCCCTTTTGTCGGGCCAGGCGAAAGGAGGGGATAGCAAAGCGGGGGTTTGAGAATCAGCTGACGTAGCTGATTTCCTGGCGCCTCCCAGCGCCGGGAGGCGGCCATGTATCGAGGAATGGGCCCCTGGGGCCGAAACCAGCTGCATGCAGCAGATTTCGTACCCCCCCCTTTCCCTATCCCCCCCTTTCGCTCGGCCCGACTTTGGGGCACAATTTCTGCACACCACCCCTGCACAAACAAGCTGGTCCGGCACATACGCGCGCGGGGGCGGTGGCCATATAAGTCGGCCCACGATTCTGGCGTGCACGCTCGGGAACTTCCGCGTAGCGTGTCGCGGCGGCGGCCCCGGCGACACGCGGTGCGATGCCCTGCGAGCGGATAGCCTGCCGCTCCGCTCCGCGGGGCAGTCAGCTGGGAAACGGCTCGGGGCGATCACGCGTGGGGACCTGGGCGTGGATAGCGTGTCGCGTCGAAGTGTGGCAGAAAGAGGCCACGGCAGCAATGGGGACTGCAACACAGCGGCCGCGGCGGCCCGGGGGGGCTTCGGCACCGGGCCAGGATGGTCCTGGGCGGGTTTCGGAATTTGCCTCCAGCGAAAATTGATCGGGGAGGGGGTGGGGCGACGGGGGCAGCTAGAAAGAGAGGCCCCTGAGACCTAATACAGGTTTGTCAAAGGCGGGAGGACCTCTCAGAGGACCCCCTGCCTTCTTTGAAGGTCACACCCTTCTCGCCCCACACAGCTTGGCACGCGACGCCAAGGCTCAGGGTAAATTCAACATCAGGTTGAAGTACATCGCGACTCAGAGGGCATGAGAGCCTGGAGAATGTATCGGGCCCCGCGGCCATTACAGAAAGCTCCAGAACGCGATGATAGCGTACGTAGGTCTACCCGAAGCCTCCATGACTGGACTGCGACCATAGGGAAAGAATACCACGCCCAGTGGGCTTCCAGAACCAACATAGTTAGTCAAATGCCCGGCCGCCTACTGCGGTCAAACTGTCTAGCGCGGGGACGGGGGCCTAGAGAATGAGGTAACTGCATGAAGCCCTTGCAGGAACAGCGCGGACACTGGACATCTTACTCGACTGGCCCATGCTCAACATGTGTCAGGACGAGCACGAGATCCCGATCCCTACGCTTGGGGGTGCACCTACACCGAACATGGGGGCGGTGGCGCGGCGTCCCGAATAATTACTTGTGCTGCAGCGTTTCCATGCAGATGGTGTGGACTCATCGCCAGACAGACCGAGTACAGACTCATGGACCAGGGACGACTGCCAAGACCGACTTTCGCCCCCATGGAAGCCGAAGTCCTGGAGTCACCCCCAGGAGTCTTCCCATGGGTGTTGGTGAGGTCGGCGTTGAGATGCTCGAAGAGGTCCGCACTGTTGCGCTTCACGGCCGCTGTCTCAAACCTCTCTATGTGCTCGAACCTCAGCAGCAGGAATCAACGTCATGGAGCGGACATGCGCAACACGGCCGCTGGGAACAAGAGGGGCACTCGAAAAGGGCCCCACCACACTGACCAATAGCAAGATCAGGACTGCATCAAGCCGAGTGAAGCGGAACCACATATAACAAATTCGCCTGGCTGTGCTCACGGTGCCTCTACGGGCAGGGCTGAACCAAGACAAGGCGAAAACCAACACAAATGCAAGGACAATGCACTACCCGTGTGCTGAAGAACTCTGAACGAGCCATTGCAAAACGCGAGTACCTTTTCGCACCACGCACGATCAAGCATCCTTCCTTCTCATGGTGATACATCGGCGTTGCAATAGTGTCGATTGGGAACATACGTGTGCGAACTGGAATGCCATGGCGTCGAAAAGTTAACGCGACTGCGGGCGAATACATAATGCAAACGTCAATTGGGATGCGTCCCCTCATGGCCAACACAATCCATCATCAGCCATCCAATCTTGAGGTTGAATGCGACTCTACCCCTGCCTCCTCATTACCCAACTATGGCGAAGGCATCGACGCCCAACTCCGCCACAGTGCGTTCATGGAGCGGGCGTGTTAGGATGCGTGCTGTTGCCTTGGAGGTGGATGAATGTGTTCGAGGCGCGTCGTCGAGATAGCATCCCTTGTTGGCCTCTGTTCGGCCTCCAGGCGGCCGAGATGGCCACCAAGAAGGCGTCCGAAGCAACCAAGGCGACACCCAAACTGCTCCAGGTGGCTCAAGCGGAGGCCCCCAATACGTCTCAACAGGGCTCCAAGAGACCCCCCAGGAGAGCCCGAGGAAGCAAGCAACTAAGGGGCCCATTAGTAGGTTAGAGGATGTTGAACTTCTCGCATGTGTGTGTGTGCGCTTCCGACCGCCCAATACGGCCCAAGAGGCGACCAATATAGCTCCAACACAAACTATGAAACCCACAAGAAGGCCCAAGTCGGCCCAAGAGGACACCAAGATCGCCCAAGAGGCTGCCAAGAGGCCCCCAATACGGCCCTAAAGAGCCTCAAGAGGCCACCACGGCTGCCCAGAGAGGCCCTCAAGACGACCTCCTAAGGTGGCAGACAAGCCAATCGCCCCCCTAAGAGGGCCCAAGAGGCCCCCAAGATGCCCCAGGAGGCCCCCCAAAGGCCCCCAAGATGCACTCTATGACGCTCCCAGGAGGCCCCCAGGAGCCCTCAATACGATCCCATGAAGCTGTCCCTTCCTCGTCCTCAGCTTCTCCTTATCCTCTTCCTCCTCCTCCTCCTCCTCGTCTTCCTCCTCCTCCTCCTCCGCCTCCTCCTCCTCCTCCTCCTCCACCTCCCTCTCCTCCTCCTCCTCCTCCTCTTCCTCCTCCTCCTCCTCCTCCTCCTCCTCCTCCTCCTCCTCCTCCCCATCCCTACCGCAAGGCCGAAGACGATGTCGGGATCACGACCCTCCCCAATTCAGACCACTCGCTGAACTGCCGCGGGGTGCGAACTCGATCCCCTTCTACCGCGCGGACGAAGACGAGGTCGAGTTCACGACCCGTCCTTCTCATACCACGAATCGGATTTGCGCTGTCCCTACAATCAGTCTCCTTCCTGCAACGCTGCTGCACAAACACGGTGGCGGGGTTTGCCGCAAGCAGCTGGATAGTCCCGCAATCTACTCGCTTGGCATAGATGGAGTAGGGTCCCGAACATACCGAAAGCAAAAACCTTCTTCTGACTGCAGGGAGCTGAGATGCCCCAGTATATGGTTTCACTATGGCCCTATATATCTCACACCTGCCATCAAAACGGCGACGTATTGCCCGAGGAGTCCTAGATGACCCCTGACTTGACACGACATGCGGTATCAATGTATTAGCTCTGGTCTGGCCCCGTCTCATTCCTCCCTCTTCTCTCCTCGACCCCCCTCCCTCTTCCATCCTCACTTCATTATGCATGATCATTTCCTCCCTCTCTCCCTTATGCCTCTCTTGTTGCTCCTCCTCCTCCTCCTCCTCCCTCCTCCTCCGCGTCTTGATCACATTACTCATCATAGCTCCTCGTCATCCTCGTCCTCCTCCTCCTCCTCCTCCGACCCCCCCCCCTCCTCCTCCTCCTCCTCCTCCCTCCTCCTCCTCCTCCTCCTCCTCCTCCTCCTCCTCCCCCTCCTCCTCCCCCTCCGACTCCATCCTTCTGGTTACTCCTGCACCTACCACCTCGTGTTGTTCTCATCCATCTCCTCCACCTCCTTCCATACTGCCCTGCTCGTAGCCCTTAGCTCCTCCTTCACCTTGTTCGCATGCTCCATTTCTTCCTCCTTTCTTCCTCCCGCCCGCACCCCCACACCAGGCGAAACCCCGCCACACTCACCCAATTCCTCAGGCAAGCGAAGTGAGAAACCCTAAGGGCAAGCACTGTTTGGGGAATGAGTGTACGTAGCTGTATGCATTGCAGGCTCGAGCCCTCCGTGTCCGCCGGACCCCAGGGCTCTGCTTTTGGGGGGGCGGCGTGGCGGACCCCTCCCTCTCCACAGCGGGGCGCAGCTCGGCAACACCACCCCCCGAGATCGGTGGCCGCGCCCGCTCCCTCGCGGCCTTGCAGCCACGCGGAGAGGGGGGTGTGGGGGGGGGAGGGCTTCTTGGGAGCACCCCTGCTTCTTAGAAGGCGCGGGCCTTGTCTGTAGATGTGTAAGGCCGGCGCCTTACATCTACAGACATTGCGTCTGTTTCACTCGTGTTAGCCCTTGTCTCTTCTCGCACCGTCTCGCCCGGGGCTCGTTTCTGGAATGGCAGGGGGGGACGCGCAACGCGCCAAACGTCATCATCGAAGAGCGGACCTTGAGCACCGCATTCGACTACCCCTCGAATAATCACATTGGAGATGATGCTGCTGCTGATGATGCTGACGATGATGATGATGCTGCTGATGATGATGCTGCTGATGATGATCAAAGTCGACTGCCCCTCGAATAATCAAATCAAGGGCTCTCAAAGTGCGAATAATTCGCGCTCTCGCGCCTCCTCCCAGAGGAGAAGAGGAGGACCAGGAGGAATCGGAGCCGAACCGCGCAGCGCGAAGCGAGAACAACTCCGCGCCCTCGAGGGTGCCCTTGCAAATTGCAGAGAGCTCGCCCTCGCACCGCGCACCCGCGGCTCGGGACTGGCGCTCGCCGCTGCGCTCCCGGCCTCCCTCCTCCCTCCTCGAGGGCCGGAGGGGGGCGGCCCCTGTGGGCTTGGCCGGCCGCCCGGGGTGCAGCGCACCTCCCACAGGGCGCGTGCCTGAAGGGGCCCAATTGGACACACAGATAAATACACACAAATCAACAGATTCCCCATCTTATCCCATATTTTCGGGGTTTTCGTTTTCCCCCCCGCTTCCCATACTTTCCCATATCTTCGGGGGAATCGACGATGCATTGTGTCTGTGTGCTTCTTTCCCTCCTGAGTGCTCTGAGCGCGCTCCCCGGCGCAGAAGCGGCGTAGGGGGGAGGGGCGAAAGGCTTCTTAGACGCACCCCTGCTTCTCAGAAGAAGGCCGGCGTCTTCTGAGGAGCAGGCTCCATTGAAGAAGCCCTCCCCCCTCCCCCACCCCCCACCCCCGTGGCCCCCGTCTCCCCCCTCCCCCTTCCCCCAGCCGCCCGCCGTGCGCAAGTCGGCCACGTGCATCCCACGTCTGCCGTCTATCGGCGGCGAGCGAGGGGGGAAGCGAGCAGGGGCGGGCCTTCTCGGAAGGTTCGGACGTCCCCCGGCCTTCTGAGGAGTGTTCTAAGCCTTCCCGGGAGACAGGAAAAACTTCTCAGAAGGCGCGAGGGCTTCTGAGAAGTCCCGCCGCCTTCTGAGAAGGCCTTCTTCTTCTCATTCCCCCCCATTGCTCGCCGCCGAGTCTGGCATCCTCGCCGCCGCCATACACAAGTGCCGACAGGGGCCATGGTGATCCTGGGGCGGGGAGGCCTCGAGTGGCCTGTGGCGGCCTGCGGAGGCGCGCGCGGGGGAGTGCTGCAAGGCGCTCGGAGTGGACGGCCTTGCCGTGATTGGCGTGCCTTGCGCCGAGGCGCCCATGTGCATCTGCTTGTCGTCACTCCTCGGAGTGATGCCTCCCTCGTCGACACCTGGACACTGGCGCCCACGGCGAGCTCTCTGTTTTCTGGTTCGGCTGGAGCTCGTGGCATTCACTGCAGCGCCCGCGGGTGCACTTGCAGACTGTGCGCAAGGAGGGGCCCCACGCCCGGTCAGCAGTTCGCGAGACGTGTCTGCCCACTTTCACGTGGACACTACCTTCAATCAAATACGTCGCCCTAGAGAAGGAGGAAGGGATAATAAAGAGCAGGAGAGGCGCTGGAGGAACAGGAGAAGAAGCAGGTACACCAGAAGCAGAAGGGAACGCTGGAGGATGATCAAGAGCAGAAGGTACACCAGGAAAAGGAGGAGGAGTGGAGCAGAAAAGCAGGAGTGGAAGATATAATATCAGAGGGCAAACGCGCTGTGTCCGTGTCCCCGTGGGCAGGAGGGTAACCCGGTTAACACGTGATGCTCGCAGCTACAGCCCTCGAGCAAGTGCCCTTCACCTCATGTTATTTGTCCCAACCATCCTGTGGTGTTGGGTCCTCGTTGTGAAGAGACAGCACCCCGCGTCTCATTCCTTCCTTCCTTCCTTTCTTTCTTTCTTCCTTCCCGCTGCCCTCCCCCGTCCTCCCCCGTCCATCATCAACCCATCATCCTCATCCAATCGTCCCCCCAATCAATTTCGGCACACCCCTCACACGATTCGTGGCCCCGGAGCTCACCCAGGGCCCCCGTGGGAGGGTTCGCATGGCACCGTCGCCCGATTTCGACACACACACACACACCTCACACGCTTCGCGGCACCATGGGGAGCTCCACCGAGGGCCCCGGTGGGAGGGTTTGCATGGCACTGCCGCCCCATTTCGGCACACCCCTTACACGATTCGTGGCAACATAGGGAGCTCCACCGAGGGCCCCGGTGGGAGGGTTCGCATGGCACCGCCGCCCTATTTCGGCACACCCCTCACACGATTCGTGGCCCTATGACCTCCACCGAAGGCCCAAGTGGGAGTGTTCGCATGGCACCGCCGCCCCATTTCGGCACACCCCTCACACGCGTCGTGGCCCCTTAGGGAGCTCCACCGAGGGCCCCGGTGGGAGGGTTCGCATGGCACCGCCGCCCCAGTTTGGCATACCACTCGAACGTTTCGTGACCCCCTATGGAGCTCAACCGACGGCCACAGTGGGAGGGTTCGCACGGCACCGCCGCTCCATGTCGGCACACCCCTCACACGCTTCGTGGCACCATAGGGAGCTCCACCGAAAGCCCCATTTGGAAGGTTCGCATGGCACCGTAACCCCATTTCGTCACACCTCTCATGCGTTTCGTGGCCCCCAGAGCACCACCGAAGGCCCCAGTGGGAGGGTTCGCATAGTACCGCCGCCCCATTTCGGCACACCCCTTACTTTGGGAGCTCCACCGTGGGAAGATTCACATGGTACCGCCGCCCCATTTCGGCACACCCCTGACACGATACGTGACCCCTTAGGGAGCTCCACCGAATGCCCCAGTGGGAGGGTCGCATGACACCGCCGCCCCATTTCGGCACACCCTTCACCCGCATGGCGGCCCCGCCTCATCTCGCCACACCCTTCACACGCTTCGTGGCCCCACGAGGGGATTCTCCAAAGGCGATTCTCACAACGACGGTACTCACAACTGCGTATGGTTGGGCCACTCGCCAGGATACTACAATGGGGGCGGAATCATAAGCCCTGGGCATCGCACGCAGCGCCCATGCGATATCTTCTGGCTCCTTCGTATTCTTCTCCAGTAGAACGTCGCCCGCAGCACCTGGAGCGAGCACACGTCGACAACGTACGAGCGACTCCTCGCACCTGCGGTTGTCGGAAGACCTTTCTTGCCCAAACACTACATGATCAGACTCAGTGAGACACTCATCGGTCCAATGCAGCTCCACTGCGACCTCCAAACTCTGCTCGGCCACACAACGTCGCGCACACGACATCCATCCCTCTCTCTCTCTCTTTCTCGCTCTCTCTGCCCCTCTCGCAACAATGTCTGACAACACCGTCTTCACCCCAATTCCGCTGCATCAAGAAAGTATGATACTGTTCGGCGTCGGGACGGTGGCCTCCACACGTTGCGTTGTCGTGCGTCTCTACAGATCGTCGCATCTGGCCCAGCAATCTGACAATAAGGCAAGCAAGTCGAGCGACCACCGTGACGCGTACGCACACCACTTGCAGGACGTGTTCTTGCAGGCATGTGAACTCACACCTATACATACGACTGGATTCTACATGCGCATACACACACGTGTCAAGTTTTCCGCCTGCTCCTCTTCCTCATCCTCCTCTTTCCCGTCCTCCTCCTCTCTTCCGCCTCCCCTTTTTCCCCCGTGCCGACGCCATTCGATACTGGGTAATGGGAAAAGCCCAGGGGACGCACGGGGCGCTACTAAGAGTTCCCTGAACTCGAAGAGCACCCCTGCGTAGCCTAGGACGACAGTGGCCTAGACGACAATGGCCGGACGACGTAATCCAGTGAATGGCCGGACGACAGTGGCCCAGGACCCTTCGCCCTCACGCTCAGGGCAGGCACGGCCATCTTCCCTGCCATCCTGCCCCAAGTGTTCCCCGAAGGGCTTCCACAGCGGCTGGGGACACACATGTTGCGATAGCTTGGCAGAGCTCTGGCTACCACGTTCGGCCTCATGGGCGATTCTAAAAAGACAGGGGGTGGCGGTGATTCGCCGTTGGCGTCTTCGATACAGTCAAACCATGTAGTGAGGATTCGCAGTCAAAATACAAGGGCCGTTGAAAGCCGTGTTGACGTTTTTCGCGCACCCGTCAGGCTTGTCCCCAAGGGGCGTCGCGCCGCATAACAGAAGGATGCAGCCCACCCACAGAGTACACTAAGGGGGTGGCCAGCGAAAGCTGCCAGAGATGGGCCGAAGGAGCAACGATGCAAGGGCAACCTTGGAAAGCTGCTGCTCCTTACTATGCGAGCTGACTGTCTCCCAGATCTGTCTGGAATTTGCCTCTTTTTCCGCAAGCGCCACGCCGCCGCGACCACCTACGGCAGGTTCGTGTCGTGCCGACTTCAGCGTTGCTTTCTGACGCAGCGGGGATCGGTCAACCTCGAACGATCGGCCGCTTCGGAGACGTCAGACCCTTCGACATCGACCGACTCTTGGTCGCCGGCGGCGTTCAACGTTGAACGTCGGCGGCGGGGTCGCCGCCAATCGACACGACACGAACCTGCAGCAATTAGCTGACGGGGCCGGCGCCCGCGAGCTCGGGCGGCGGCTGCAGCCAGGGAGGCCACGCCTGGGGGCCCGCCTCGCGCGGCGGCGGCGGGGCGGCGGCGGCTGCCCCGGCCACTCCCGGGTCGGAGTCCACCTCTGGAGGGGCCACAAGTGGCGGCGCGCACAAGGGCGTTCGACGTTGATCCCTGGGCCTCCTCCACCTCTTCCCCCTCCTCACCACCTCGCCCCCTGCTCGACGTCTCCGGCCTCCTCCTGGTCGGTGCCTCCAGGTTCGGCCTCTCCTCTGGCCTCCTCCTGCTCGACGCCGATCCCTGCACCTCCTCCACCCCTCGGCGGCGCGCACCAGGCCTCTCAGAAGGAGGCTGGATCTTAAAAGGCGCCGACCCTACAGCTACAGACGAGGCTCGCGCCTTCTAAGAAGCGGGAGGGGTGCTTCTGAGAAGCCTCCCCCCCTCCCCCCAAACCCTTCTCTGCGCGTGGCTGACACAAATGGTGGGAACATGCTTTCACAGAGGTGCGCGCAGATATCCTGGATCGGCGCCGACCCCCCTCCCTGGCGCGCGGGGCGCGCCAGGGGCGGCGCTGGAGGCGCTGCCAGGTGGACCCAACGCTGATCCAAGAAATCCATGCGGATCTCCGAGAAAGTATGTTTGCAGTTCTGCTGCTGCAGTGAGGAACGCTACACAAGGGACGAAGCATCTCTATGGCATCAAAAGGGCCTGGGTGCACGAGGAGGGCTAGAGGAAAAACTGCGGAATGACCTGAGGAGCAGCAAGCCTCCTCCGAACCCAAAGAGGTCAGAATTTCAACGAACTGTCTGTATTTCGCTTCTTGCTTTTCGACCTTGTACTGCGCCAAACGCGAAGGCCGCAGCGTCTGTAGTCGCATCCACCCCGAATGTGACAATACATGTAAAGGCACCCACAATGTCTATAGATGCCTATGGCTAGGAAGTGAGAACGGCATTCGGCATATACCGCAGGCACTGTTCTGCTAGCCGCACGTAAGTCACACTTTGCCCTCCAAGTTCGAGCCTCGCCCCCGTCGGAGTCCAGCGCGATGGCCCCCTCGGGTATCCCCGCGCGGGCCACCCTCTCGGCGAGCGTCAGGCGCCTCCTGGTCACCCGGACGGCGGGCCGCGGGGGCGGCGGCAGGGGCACCCTCGCGAGGCGCGGCAGGGGCTCCGGAGGCACCCGGGCCCTGCTGCCGTTGGCGAACCGAACCTTCTTGGCCTTCGGCTTGCGCTCCTAGAGAACCAAAAATGCGAGGCGGCGATTTATCCATATCCACCGCCTGGGAACCGACGTCTTGGTGCCAAAGCGGGCGGTGGAAATGTATACATTTGGGGCCCCCGAGTGCCCGAAAATAAAACATATCCACCGCCTGCCGAGGTCTCCGAAAATTTATCCTCCAGGCGGTGGTCATATATAAATTCCCGCCTCGGAAAATACGGCGTGTGTATATACATATTTATATACTTTCTCAGAGTTCCGCGGGATTTCTTTGATATATATATATATATACACACATATATGTCGGCGGTGCCCGGTGCGGAGCGACCCCCCCCCCCCGGTAATCTCTCCTGGGGGGGTTCGAGCTGGCGCCATTCCCGGTGCGAGCCTGCACGAAACCCCCCGGTAAACACGACCTCCTCTGGTAGGCTGCACGAACCCCCCCGGTAAGGACGCAACCCCTCCGTAAGCGGCGCGCTCCCAGCACGCGCGAAACCCAGCCCCGACGCGCGAATCTAACCAGGACGGGCCGGAACACGGCGGCGACATTGCATCCCAGGGCCGTGCCGGAACACGGCGGCACTGTTCTTCTCTAGGCGGCCGTGCCGTCGACCCCCCACAGCGGCTCTCGGGAGTTGCGCCGCAGCCTCTCGTATTGTGGCCACGAGCCACAATACGAGAGGCTGCGGCGGAACAAAGGCGAGCAGACGCGAATAGAGAACACAAGGCGAGCACACGCCACACTTCGACAGGGAGCCACCCTTCCCAACCGCCCCCCTGCCCCCCCCCCAACCCACCCCCCACTCCCACCCCCCCACTCCCACAGGGGGGGGGGGGAGCCCAGGTAGACGCAGTGCGGCCTGCACGAACCCCCCCGGTAAAGCGGCAAGGGGGGGGTGTTCTAAGCCGCTGGCGGCACCCGGTGCGGGCTGCACGAAACCCCCCGGTAGTGCACGAAACCCCCCGGTAGTGCTGGGGGGGGGGGTCGTGCCACGGCGCACCGCCGACATATAGCTTGAGGATCTTGGACAGCGCTCTCAAGCGCAGGCGCGTGACATAGTCGTGCCTCCTGAGGGCCTCTTGGAAACCTCTTGGGTCTTCGTGGGGGCATCTGAAGGGCTTCTGGGGGGCCCTCCATGCTTCCTCAATTGGTTGTTGCAGTCACATCTTGGGTGCTTCTCGGGGGGCATCTTGGGGCTTCTTGAGGTCCCTTGGGGGTATCGTCAGGGTTCTCCGGGCAGTCGGAAAGTGATGTTCTGCAGCCTGAAGCAGACAATTGGCCGTCTTGGCTGCGTAGAGGCCCGGCTTGAGGCCACATTGGGGCAATCTGGAAGCCTCCTGGGGCCTCCTTGAAGCAATTTTGATTGGCCCCGTGTACGTCTCCTGTGAGCCTTTTGGGGCCTGGTGGGGGGCTTGTGGGAGCCTCGTCGAACCACTTGGGGACTCTTGGGGCCTCCTGTGGGCCTCTTAGGGCGAAAGGCTCTGCTGTTGGGTTCGCGTTCACCTTCTTGGGGCTCTCTTGGGGCCCTCTCGGGCCGTCTTGGGCGCCTCGGGCACCGTCTTGGGGCCCTCGTGGGCCGTCTTGGGGCCCTCTTGGAGGCCTCTGCAGTCTTGGGGGCCTCTTGGGCCGTCTTGGAGCGTCGGGAAGCCAAAAGGCTGGGAACTTAACAATCCATCAAAAGCCGATGGGAAAACATTGTTTCTTGGAACATCTTCGGCCTTCTGGGGAGCTTCTTGAGGGCCTCTTGGGTCCCATTTGGGGGCCTCGGGGGCTTCCTGAGAGCCTCTCGGGGTGGAAGGCTCGGATTTTCGGTTCGTCTTACCCCTCTTGGGCCCCCCTTGGGGCCGTATTGGTGCCCTCTCGGGCTGTCTTGGGCCCTGTTGGAGGCCTCGTGGGCTATCTTGGATTGGTCTTGGAGGCCTTTTTGGGCCGTCTTGGGGCGCCAGGACGCCAAAAGGCTGAAAACTCTAACATCAATCAAACACCTACGGCAAGACATGGATTTGTGCCTTTTGGGGCCTTCGTGGGAGGCCTCTTGAATACGCTTCGGCCCCCTGGGGGGGCTTCCTGGGGCCTCTTGGAGCCTGTTAGGGGCTTCTCGGGGCCTCCTGAGAGCCTCACGGGATGGAAGACTCGGGTTTTCGGGTCGTGTCAACCCTCCATATTGGGGCCGTGTTGGGGCCCTCTCGCTCCGCCTTGGACGCCTGTGGCGCCGTCTTGGGACCCCCGTGGGCTGTCTTGAGACCGTTTTCGACGCCTCTGGGGGTGCCTTGGAGCGGAAATTGAAGCCTCTTGGGCCGTCGTGGGGCGTCAGGAAACTCAAAAAGCCAGAACTCGAAAATCGATCAATTACTCCGGCGGTAGGACCCACATGAGAATCTGTTTAGCTTACCCTTTGCCTTTTCCTCCTCCCCCTGGCGGACACCCTCTCCTCTCGCCCTCTGCACTGCCCTCTCTCCCTCATTATATTCCTCTTCCTACTTCTCCTCCTCCTCCTCCTCCTCCTCCTCATCCTCCTCCTCTCGCGCCACCTCCTCCTCGTCGTCGCCCTCCCCCATGCCCCTTCCCTCCTCGTCCTCCTGCTTCTTTTCCATGTGCACCTCCCGTTCCCCCTGGTCGTGGCAAGCAACTCGATGTTCCTCGGCGCCGTCGCCGCGTCGACCAGCGCGCGCGCGTTTGCTGACGGCTAGATCGCGAAGCCGTCGGGGCAACCCTTCGGGCCAGGCCGCGGGGGCAACCTCGCAGGTCGCAGGGGCGCGGGGGCCAGCCGTTGGGACAACCCCGCGGGCCTCTAGGTGCGCGCCGCGGCGCTCAGGCGGGCGGCAGCGCGAAGCCTAGCTCTGCCGCGAGCTGCTCCGCCTCAGCCCTGGAATCCACCGCTCTTTTGTCGAACTCCCGGAGCGCCTTCCGCAGCGACGCCGGCGGCCCGCGCTCCGGGAACACTCGCGCGGGCGGCCGCAGGATCAGCATGTTCCGCCTGCACGTGGCGCAGGAGAACATGACGTAGAGGTGCAGCCACCACGGCTCGTCCGACATGCCCGTGCGGCCAGCGTCTCATCCCTGGCGCAGTCGATGGTGACGCCCTTGCGCAGCGTCTGGCCCTGCGACAGCGTGGAGGTCAGGTAGGACGCATGCGTCAGGGTGAACCCCGAGCGGCGCACAGCGTGCGCCCCCGAGCTTTGCCACGTGAGCTCCTGCTCGCTGGGCCTGAACATGAGCAAGCTCCTCGCCCGCGCTTCGGCCTCGCCGTCGTCGGCAGCGCCATCGGCGCCCTGCAGCAGCACCTCGGCGACCTCCTTGTAGATCGGGGACTCCTGGAAGCCGTGCGCCTGCAGTCATATTCCCTGCGGTAGGAAGCGGGGGCGGAAGAGCTGGCCCGGCGCGCACTCCTCGTAGTCCCGCTCGTCGTCTGCGTGAAACTCGAAGGACACGATGGTGGCCCGTTGCTCCTGCACGAGCCCCAATTTCTTCTTGAGCTCCTCCTGCACGGCCGTGAACCGGACCTCCATGCCGACGTGTGCCGGTAAGACGCCGTGGATGTCTCCCGTATTGCGCATGTTCGGGACGTTCAGGAGGCGCCGGCCTGCGTCTGGGTCGCCTTGAATCGTGCCGCACTCGTCTACGGCCTGCAGGAAAACGATGGGTTACCACCGCCAGCCCGGAGACAAGGGGTTACCCCTGCCCCCGATTCGGCCGAGGATGGGTTACCACCCCCGTCCCGGACGCAAGGGCCCCCCCTGCGCCCGATTCGGCTGGCGATGGGTTACCACCGCCAGCCCGGAGACAAGGGGTTACCCCTGCCCCCGATTCGGCCGAGGATGGGTTACCACCCCCGGCCCGGACGCAAGGGGCTACCCCTGCGCCCGATTCGGCCGCCGATGGGTTACCACCGGCGGCCCGGAGACAAGGGGTTACCCCTGCCCCCGATTCGGCCGAGGATGGGTTACCACCCCCGGCCCGGACGCAACGGGCTACCCCTGCGCCCGGCCGCTGCCTCGTCGTCGTCATCGTCAGCTCCTCAGTCGCCCTCTCGGACGCCGCGGCCGTGGGGCGGCGGAGCCTCTCGGACCTCCACGCTGTCGCATGACTACAACAAGTTTGCCGACGACCAGCTCGGACGATGCTACCCGGACATCTCAATCGCTCTTTCGGGCACGCAGGCCCATGACAACAACAATTTTGCCCGCGACCAGTTCAGACAGACGAGACTCCCGCTTGGTAACTCCCCGGTATTCAGGCCGCAGGAGCGAGTTCTAAAACCCGTCCTCAGACCTCCAAGTGACGACAGGAGACGGTCCTCTGACGGGGCTACCCGCACCGCCCACAGACAAAGTTCCCCCTTGATACTTCCCCCGTGTGCAGGCCGCAGGAGCTGAGGAGCCCAAAAAGCTCGCTTGGATGACCCGCTCGGGTTCGAACATGAAGTGCGTGCCCCATAGGGAGGGGGCTCCCGCCTGAGACTTCCTCGCAATTCACTCACAGACGAAGCTCCCGCTCGAGACTTCCTTCATATTCAAGCCTCAAGAGCCCAAAAGTGATGACAGTTAAAAGGTTCCGATGACCCGCTCGGATTAATAACATGATCGGCGGGCCCCAAAAAGAGGGCGCTCCAGCCTGAGACGTCCTCGCAATTCACTCAGAGACGAGGCTCCCGCCTGATACTTCCTCCATATTCAGGCCTCAAGAGCCCAAAAGTGACGACAGTTAAAAGGTTCCGATGACCCGCTCGGATTAATAACATGATTTGCGGGCCCCATAGGGACGAGGCTCCCGCCTGAGACTTCCTCGCAATTCACTCAGAGACGAGGCTCCCGCCTGATACTTCCTCCATATTCAAGCTTCAGAGGCCCAAAAGTAACGACAGTTAAAAGGTTCCGATGACCCGCTCGGATTAATAATATGATCCGCGGACCCCATAGGGAGGGGGCTCCCGCCTGAGACTTCCTCGCAATTCACTCACAGACGAAGCTCCCGCTCGAGACTTCCTTCATATTCAAGCCTCAGGAACCCAAAAGTGACGACAGTTAAAAGGTTCCGATAACCCGCTCGGATTAATAACATGATCTGCGGGCCCCATAGGGAGGGGGCTCCCGCCTGAGACTTCCTCGCAATTCACTCAGAGACGAGGCTCTCGCTTGATACTTCCTCCATATTCAGGCCTCAAGAGCCCAAACATGACAACGGTTACAAGGTTCCGATGACCCGCTCGGATTAGTAACGTGATCCGCGGGCCCCATAGGGAGGGGGCTCCCGTCTGAGACTTCCTCGCAACTCACTCACAGACGAGGCTCCCGCCTGATACTTCCTGCATATTCAAGCCTCAGAGGCCCAAAAGCGACGACGGTTACAGGGTTCCGATGACCCGCTCGGATTAGTAACATGATCTGCGGGCCCCATAGGGAGGGGGCTCCCGCCTGAGACTTCCTCGTAATTCACTCAGAGGCTCCCGCCTGATGACGAAATGATGAGTGAGCGAATGATGATGATGAGTGTGTGATGAATGAGTGATGATGATGATGATGAGGATGATGATGATGCTGATGATGAGGATGATGATGATGGTGATGGCCACTGAGTGGGTGATCGAGAAATTATGATGGAGATGGTGACGATGATGTTGAGAGTGGCGGCGGTCCTACCGTCGGAGGACCACTGCCTCCGAAGCCTACTGAGGATGAGTGAGTAATTGAGTGAGTGAGTGGGTGATCGATTTGTGATGATGGTGTCGATGATGAGGATGATGATGATGACTAGTGATGACGGTGATGGTGGTTGATGGTGATGATGATGGTAATGATGATGAGTGTGTGCGTGTGATGACGATGATGGTGGTTGATGGTGATGATGATGGCGATGATGTTGAATGAGAGAGAGAGAGGAGAGGGGGTGTGTGAGATCATGCGCGGCGTGTGCAGAGAAAACAAGAGACCCACTTTGGATGTGGGGAAAAACCACAGAACAACAAATTAGTTGTGCCTCCTGGGGCTCCTTGGGAGCCATCTTGGAGACCTCTTGGGGCGTCTTGGAAGCCCCTTGGACAGTCAGGGACCAATTCTGGGGTAATCTCGGGCGGTCATTGGTCGTGTTCGTTGTCTGGAAACGCTATTTCTGCCAATCCAGGGCCGTCTTCGTCTTCTGGCGACTTTATAAGGCCCCCAGCGCCACGGCAGGGCCCCCGGGCCTCCCGGCGCGAGGGCCCCATCCCGGCCCCCACCTCGTGCCCGCGGCAGGGCGTCCCTGGGCCGTCTCGGCGCCCTCGTGGCCGTCTCGGCGCCCTCGTTGGGTGTCTGAAATCCATCAAAAATTGAAGGACAATCAATGATTTTGGCGTCCCTCTGGGCCGTGTTGGAAGCCTTGTGGGCCGTCTAGGGGCCATCTTGGGCGCGTTCGAACGATATGTCCTCGTTTCGGGGCCTCCTGGGGGCCTCTTGCGGCCCTGTTCGTCTGTGCTGGGGCTTTCTTGGGCCGTCTGGGGACGGCCCTGGGCTGTCTCGGCGCCCTCTTGGAAGCCTGTTTGGGAGATTTCTGGGTGTCCTGGACCGTCCTCCTTCAACGTCGGCGGCACTGACCGTAAGACTTCCTGGGAACATGATTTGTTGGGGTGTCGTTGGGCGCCTCCGGAGGCTTCGGAACCTGACGCGCTTCCGAGCGTGACGGCAGGTAACGCTGCTTGGGACTCTCGTGTTTTTATCCTGGCGGGCGTTAAGGGAACATGGTTTGGGGAGAAGGCGGCAACCCGAGAATCATGTTCCCGGTAAACTTTCCGGGAACATGATTTGTTCGGCTCTCCTAACAGGGGGGCCTCTGGGGGCTTACCGAGGGGCCCTTGTTGGCCTTGTCGGCAAGCCTATTGGAAACATGGTTGGGGCGGTGGACGGAAGCCCAAGGAATCATGTTCCCGGAAAGCTCTGGGAAATACGATTTACCGAGGTCTCTTGGGGGCCTGCAGGGGGCCTCCCTGGGGCCCCTTGGGAACTCATTGGGGCTTCTGGGGGGCCTCTTGGGAGCCTCACGGGGCTTCTTGGGAGCCTCTTGATGGCCTCCGGGGGCGTCCTAGGAGCCTCTCAGGCTGGAGACCTTGAAATGTCGCGCTCTTCGGGCCCTCTTGGGTCGCTCTTGGGGCTCTCTTGGGGCGCTCTCGAAGCCCTGTTGAATTATCTGGGGAGCCTCCTGGGCCGTCTCTGGTCTTTCTTGGGAGCCTCTTCGGCCGTCTTGGAGCGATCTGAACGGCCTCTGACGCCGTCCGGGACCGTGGGGAGGCGGAACATGCGATAGCGCAAAAATGCGGGGCCCTGTGGAGGGGCCTCTGGAGGCGCTCTTGGGGCGTTTTGGCGGCGTCGTCGGCTGTCCTGAGGCCATCTTCGGTGTGTCCGGGGCCTCTTGAGGCTGTCTTGGCAAGCTTTAGGGCCCTCTTGGCGTGTCGTGGCGCGTTTGGGAGCGGACCTGGGCAGTCCCTCGAGCGCTGGGGGCTGTTGAATGCTAGGTGTTGTCTTGGAGGCGGAGGCTGTTGAGTGCAGGGTGGCGCGTGCTACGCGGAAGGCGGGCGAGCGGCCAGGCGGGCGGCGGGCGGGCGGGTGGCGGGCGGGCGGGTCGGGATTTGAATGAATTCCTTAAGGGTGCTCTCTTGCAGCGGGAGCTTGTTGAGCACAGGGTGTTGCCTTGAAGACGGGGGCTGTTGACTACAGGGTGTTGTCTTGGAGACTGAAGCTGTTGAGTACAGAGTGGTGCGTGCTACGCGGACGGCGAACGGGCGGCGGGTGCCCTAGGTGGTGGGTCAGAGGCCTCATGGGTGTTGGTTTGGATCTCGTGGTTGGCCTGTCGGGAACGTCGTGAAGGCAGTTTCGCGTATTCTCGGTGACCGTTTCGGGGCCGTAGTGGGGCCTCCTCGGGGCTGTTTTGTGGCCTTTTGAAGCCTCTTTTTGGCCTCCTGGGTGCCTCTCGGGGGCCTCCTGGGGCCTCTTGGGGGCTCCTTGGGGCCTCCTGGGGCACTCTTCAAGCGGGAGGGTCGAATTTTGGATTCGTGGTCCCCTCTTCATCTTGGGGCCGTCTTGGTGCTCTCTTGGGCTGTCTTGGGCGCCTCTGGGGTCGTCTGGGGGCCCTCTTGGGCCGTCTTTGGGCGCTCTTGGGGCCTATTGGGCCGTCTTGGAACGTCGGACAGCCGAAAAGGCAAAATCTCTCCAAAACCTTTGAAAAATTGCCGATTTCGGCCACTTGAAGCGCTCTGGAGAGGCCGGAGCACTGGACCCAGGACCCTGGGAGGAGCCTCCATCAGTCGAAGGGCGATAAGAACATCGGCGGGAGGCGAGCCGAGAAGTCGAAGGGACGAGCGCGGTCCCGAGGGGCGACCGGGGCGGGGACGGCGTCGACGACGACGACGCCGACGACGGCGACACCGCCGACGACGGAGAATTCTCTCTGGGATCCGAGGGCCTCTGCGCTGGCCCGGGGCGGGATGTGCCACCGCAGGAGGGCCACGGCGCGCATGGCGTCCAGGAGGCCGTTTTCTTGGACCGGCGGCGGCGGCGGTCCGAAGTGCGGCTCGTCCGCACCGTCCATTGTGAGGTTCCTCGGTGCTGTTTGGGAGCCTCTTGAGGCCTCCTTTGGGCCTCCTGGGTGCCTCTTGGGGGTCTCCTGGGGCCTCCTGGGGGCCCTTTGGGGCCTCAAGGCGCCCTGTGGAGGCGGGAGGCTCGAATTTCCAGTTCGCGGTTCCCCTCTTGGGGCCCTCTTGGGACCGTCGTGGGCCTCTCTTCGCCCGTCTTGGGCGCGTCTTGGGCTATCTTGGGGCCCTCCAGAGCCGTCTTGAGGCCCTCTTGGAGGCCTCTTGGGCTGTCTTGGGGCGTCCGCGGGGGGCCTTGTGAGCCGTCGTGGAGCGTCGGAAAGCTGAAAAGGCGGGAGAGGCAAAATGTGTCCAAAACCTTCGTAAAATTGACGATGTTGGCCTCTTGGGGCCCTCTGGGGGGGCCTCTTGGAGGCCTCTTGGGCCGTCTGGGAGCCATCTTGGGCGTCTGGGATCGATCGTAAGCGTCTCGAGGCACGCTTGGACCGTCTTCGGCGCCTCTTGGGCCGGACAAGGGCGCTCCCGGAGGCCCGATCCTCCCATGGGGGTTGCGGTCCCGGCCAGGGAGCCCCCGGCCCTGTAGCCCGGTATATATATATATATATATATATATATATATATATATATATATATATATATATATTTATATATATATATATATTATATATATATATAATATATATACATGTGTGTAAATGTACTAGTATGTGCTTTCTCAGAGCTCCGCGGGATTTCTTTGGTCTGCGCTGGCGCGCAAGGGGCGGCGCCGGAGGCGCCGCCAGAAGGGCCCCACGCCGATCCAAGAAGTCCGCGCGGAGCCCCGACAGTTTGGGGGGGCCGCAAAGAAGCTTGGGGTACTAAAACCGTGTGGTAACAGACCGTGCGCTGACCTCGAAGTCCCGAAGGACCTCACCGCACGGTCCGTCACTGTACGGCCTTGGGACCTCGGAGGCCCCAGCCGCGCCCGAGTCGTCCTCGGAGCAGGTTCCGAGGCCCAAACCGTGCGGTGACCCCGCACCCCTTGACTCACCACGCGGTGTGATCACCACATGGGGGCCCCCGAGAGGCACCGATGCCGCCGCTCCACGGACCTCTCCCCGGGGTGCGTCCTCACCAGGGTTCCGAGGCGGATCCAGCCGTGGCGACGACGGACGTCTCCAGCCGAGTCGGTACTGATCTCTCCTCCCTGGACAACACTGTGAAAGATCACGACCGGAGCCTACTTAGACTTAGTATGTCTGCGCAGTGTTGTAGAAGCGGATCGATATGCGAAGGTCCTGGGGCCCGAAGCCTGGGGGAAACGCCCGTGCGAACACCGCGGCGCCCCCCTCTGTACGCCCCCCTCTGTGCGCCCTGGGGCGGCAGGGGCCCGGCGAGGGCCCCCAAACGTTGCTGGGTGCGTTCCCTCCGCTGGCCTTCTGCGGCCACCGCGGCGCCGCCCTCGGTGCGCCCGGCGGCAGCCGGGGCGCCCCCTGACCATCGCATAACCGACCACTGTCTCCATTGGCGTGGCCTGGGCCCCACTGGCCGATAACCCCCCTAGATCTGGCGGTGGATAAACCTCACTTTAGTAAACCACCCTTTAGTGAAAGCGGCCTCGGACCGAAACCGACGGACCTGGACCCGCAAAAATGACGGCCGCGACGACCTCTCGCGAACCGAAAACGGCCAATTCGCTAATCGACGTGTCAGGGTAGGAGGTCTATCAACCTCTGATAGATGGGTACAGACAGGCTGTCCCATTCTGGTTTTGATTGGCCTATCCCCAGCTGGGGTGGTGGGGCGGTGGGGCGAAGATGCCGCGGCCCAGTGGGGATGTGGGACAGGTTGACTTGGAGGTGGCCAGGGGGCCTGGGCCCCAGAAAATCGGCCATGAGGAGACCACACGAGGTACCCAAACCGCTATTCCCCAGACCTCTCCCAGGGTGCGTTCTGACTAAGATTTCGAAGCCAATCCAGCGGTGGCGACGAGGGCCTCCAGGTCGGCCCAACAAGGGGAAAACGAGGCAAGGCTGGCAGTATGGGTACCCTTTTCATCCTCCGAGGTAATGGGGGGGAAAATCCGTTCAAAATCGGTTCCTGGACCCCTTCCGGGGTCCATCTGGTGCGTTTTTTCAACCCAGATCCGTTGGTCACGGGCCTGCGGGCCCCGCAAAAACAGCCCCGGGAGGCTAGATATAGCCAGAGTCCAATATATGCAAACAGCACCGTTTGAGCCAAAGTGGTTCCTAAGACTGTTCGCGCGATATCCTGTTTCTGATCCGCCTGCGCATTCGGCGTCGTCGTCGATCTTTTCGTGATTCGTCCTGGTCCTCCTTCCTCCTCCGCATCCACGCAATTATCTATTTCGCCCTCGCCCGCTCCCGTTCCTCTACACCTCCTCCGTCTCCTCCTTCTGTCTTCCTTCTGCTCCTCCTCCTCCTCTTCCTCCTCCTCCTCCTCCTTCATTTCCTTTCCTGATAAATAATGTTTGCCTGCCGCACCCCGAGGCAGGTTTCTAGGGCGGGCTGGGCGTTTCGCTTGAACTCTCTCACCACTTATGACCCTGAAACTTTAAAAATGAAAGCAGTTGGCAGATGGAGGGCAACTCGTTTTCACTATGTGGCTCGCGCCTTAGCGCCGTGCACATTGGTTGTAAACATTTCTTAGATCTTCACGGATTGAGGGCGGGTGGTGGTTTTCAAAATGTGGTTATCGCTTTCGCGCCGCGCACATTCGTTTTAACCATTTGCAAGAACTTCACAGATTGAGGGCGGCCGGTTTTGAAAATGTAGTTTTCGCCCCAGCGCCGCGCACATTTAACAAAACATACAAGGAGTTCACATATTGAGGGCGGGCCGTTTTCAACATGTGGTTCTCGCCTCAGCGCCGCGCGCATTCGTTCTGAAACATGTGCAAAAGCTTCACGGATTGAGGGCGGCTTCTTTTCAAAATGTGGCTCTGGCATTAACGCTGCGCGCTTTCGCCTTAAACGTGTACAAGAGCTTCACGGCTTGAAGGTGGTACCTTTCCAACCTGTGGCTTTCGCTTTAGCGACGCGCACATCCTTTTGAACTTTGCGCACAGCTTCACGGATTCCCATGATCAGTGTATCGGAAGTGACGTTTTGGACAACATCAGGACAGGCGCAACAGTTACGTTCATTCACGGTGTTGAAATCCCAGGAACAGCGGTCTGAAACGATTCAGGATCGTCTAAACGCAACAGTCAAGCTGATCCGTGGCGTGCTTGAGGGTCTTGAAACGGTTGTCTTCCAACGAGACAGCTCCCTCAATGGAAATGAACCGCTGTAGAAGCCTATGAAGAATGAGCTTGGGCGGAGGGTTTACTCCAAAATCGTGAATGGTTCTTGGGTTTACACTGTTCCTCCTCTTCCTCGTCCTCGTCCTCCTCCTCCTCCTCCTCCTTCTCCTCCTCCTTTTCTTCCTCCACCTCGTCGTTCTCCTCCTTTTCCTCCTCCTTTTCCTCCTCCTCCTATTCCTCCTCCTTTTCCTCCTCCTTTTCCTCCTCCTCCTTTTCCTCCTGCTCCTCCTCCTCCTCCGCCTCCGCCTCCGCGTCCGCGTCCGCCTCCTCTTCGTCCTCGTCCTCCTCGTCCTCCTCGTCCTCCTCCTCTTCCTCCTCCTCCTCCTGCTCCTCCTCCTTCTCCTCCTCCTCCTCATCATCCTCTCCTCCTCCTCGTCATTCTCCCCACCCTGATCGTCCGGTTCCTCCTCCCCCTCTTCCTCTTCCGTTTCCTCCTTACGTTTCTCCTCCTGCTCCTCCTGCTCGCCTTGCTCCTCCTTGTACTATCCGTATTCCTCGTCGTGTTCCTCGTCCTACGCACTCCGCTTCGCAGTGCTCCTCCTCCTTTTCCTTGTTCATGCCTTCTCCTTACACATAGATCTTCGCTGTCGCAGACCGAACCCAATGTTTAGGGCGAGCCGGGCGTTACGCCTGAGACTCCCTCACCACTTATGACTCTGATGCTGCAAAAACTGGCAACAGCTTCGCAGATGGAGGGCGGGTGGTTTTCAAAATGTGGCTCTCGCCTCAGCGCCGCGCGCGTTCGTTCTGAAACATGTCAGTGGATCTACGGATTGAAGATGACCCGTGTGGTTCTCGCCTTAGCTCCGTGCGCAATCGCGGGTTTCACGGATTCAAGGCGGTTCCTTTTCAAAATGCGGCTCTCGCCTTAGCGACGCGCGCGCTCGATCATAACATGTGCAGGAGTTTCACACATTTCCACGACCAACGTACCAAACATGTTTTGAACAAGTATGCAAGATTTTGCGTGTTCAACAATTACGTCAAGTCACGGCGCTGCAAGTCCCAAGAATGGGTTGTGGCGCGATTCAGGATCGTCAAGAAGCACCTGTCAAGTTGATCCGTGGCGTTGGAATTCCGAGAACAATGTTATGGCATGCTTCCGGGTCTTCAAACGCTTGTCTTCCAACGAGGCATATCCATCAGTGGAAATGGACCGTTGTAAGGGCCTATCACGAGGCAGCTCGGACGGAGGGTGGTTTCCAACATCGTTGACGGCTCTTGGGTTTACACTGGTCGTCCTCCTCCTCTTCCTCCCCATCCTCCTCCGCCTCCTTCTCGCAATGCTCCTCCTCATCGTCCTCGCACTCCTCCCCCTCGTCCTCGCATTCCTGCCCCTCCTCCAACTACTCTTCCTTCTCATCCGTCTCCTCTCCCTTCTCCTTGTCCGCCCCGTCATTTTCCTCATCATGTTCCTCCTCTTCCTCCTGCTCCTCCTCGTCTTCATCATGTTGTGTGTCTTGCTACTCTTCCTCCTCCACCTTCTCTTCCGTCTTCTCCGCTGTCTCGGCCATGCTCGGGATGCCTTCGCACTGTCGCTGCCGCTTCCAGGAGGCACCCTCGCCATGGATGCCCTCAAACAGTTAACGTTTGAGCCTGGCCCCGTCTCCCTCCACCACCACTCCTCTCGCGCAGCGTTTCGGAGCTCATTCCTCCTCCCTTTCTCCCATTTACCAAAAAATTGTGCTCGCGCCTCGGCGCCGGCTAGCTCCTCCGTCGGGCCAGAGGCGGGCACACACCTCCCAGATCACAACTCGACAACAGAACTCTAAACAAACGATTCGTTTGGGCTTGACCGCTCCTCGCTCCTCGCTCCTCCCCCTCGGAGCCCAGAGTTTCGAGATGTCTCAGGCGAAACGCGCAAAACAACCTCGCGTACATTTTCTGAGAGCCCAGAATTGCGCGATTCTTAGGCGAAGCGAGCTAGACCACCGCGCGCAATTCTTCAAGGAGCTAGGAATCGCGGAGATGTCTCAGGCGAAACGGGCTGGACCACCTCGCCCGCAACATCATGGAGCCCCCAATAGCGAGAATGTTTCAGGCGAACCGGGAAGGACCACCTCGCGCGCGACATTTGGGAGCCCAGAGTTGCGATGAGGTCTCAGGCGGCGTCCAGACCCTTCCCAAAGCACAATTCGACAACAGACGTGGAATCAACTGATCACTTGGGTCTGACTCCTCCTCCCTTCTTTCTCCTCCCTCTCGGAGCCCAGACTTTCGATAATGTCTCAGGCGGCACGGGCCAGCCCACCTCGCCCGCAACATCTCGGAACTCCGAATTGCGAGGATATCTCAAGCGAAACGGGCCAGACCACCTTGCGCACATATTCTCTGAGCTCAGAACTGCAAGGATGTCCCAGGCGAAACGCGCTGGACCACCTCTCGCGCAGCATCTCGGGAGCTCTTTCCTCCTCCCTTCCTCCTCCCCCATCCCAGCTCCTCCCTGCTCGCCGCGCTCGATCCGAGGCATATCCGCGATTTGTTCCGGCATGGCTCCTTCCCGAGAAGACCCTGCAGTTTACCCAGGAATCGTGCTCGCGCCTCGGCGCCGGCTGCCTCCTCCGTCCCGCCAGGAGCGCGCAGACCTCTCCCAGGAGCACAATTCGACAACAGGAATGGCATCAAATGGCTCGCTCCTCTCCCTCTCCCTCCCCGACCGACTCGGAGCCCAGAGTTTCGAGGACGTCTCCAACGAAACGGGCCAGACCACCTCTGGCGCGGCACCCCGGAGCCCAGAGCTGCGAGGCTGTCTCCGGCGAGACGCCCCAGACTGTGCAGGCCCAGCGGAGGGGCCCGAAGTGACCAGGCGTTGGCACGGTGCCTCTGGCTGGGGCGCCGCGGCGCCTCGCTTGAACCTTCCGCCCTCTTAGGCGAAGACCGGTGTCGCCAGCCACCCCGAGACGCGGCCTCCAAGTGGTCACGTCTTCGTCGCGCCGTCACCTTCTCCCCTACAAGTGCGCCGCGCCGCAACGCTCGAGCACGGGCCCGTCGGACGCTTCTGCTTGCAAGGCAAGCCGCCGGCTGCGACTGCCGAGGTGGCCACGACCTGTTGCGCGCAGTCTGCCCGCCCCCCGTCCGCCACCCTTCCTCTCCGCGCGGTCTCCCCAGCCCCTTGTTTCTTTCGCGTGCCCAAATCCACAGCTACTGCGCCTTTACGAGGCATCGTGTGGGTCTCAATTCGCCGGCCGCGACTGCTGTTTTCCTGATCCCCCTCCACGTCCGATTTGTCCTCCTCCTCCTCCTAATCTTCCTGACCCCATCCCCATCCCGATGGGCATCCTGTTGTCCCTCCCCTTTTCCTTGCTCCTCATCCCCTTCCTCATCCCCCTCATTCTCCCAGACCCTGATCGCCACCCCGCCTGGCCCACGCGCTACCGCGTCTGCGACCGGGCGGCCAAGGACCCAACCATATGCAGTTGTGAGTGCCGCAGTTGTGAATATCGTCTTCGGTAGAGCTCCCTATTGGCCACGAAACGTGTGAGAGATGTGCCGGAACTGGGGTGGAACCGCATGCGAATCCTGCCACTGAAACCTTCGGCGGAGCATCCTATGGAGCAACCAAACGTGTGAGGGGCGTGCCGAAATGTGAGTGGAGACACATGCGAACCCTGCCACTGGGGCCTTCGGTGGAGCTGCCTACGGGCCCACGAAGAGTGTGAGGGGTGTGCCGAAATGCGGGGTGGAACCGCATGCGAAGCCTGCCACTGGGTCTTTCGGTGGAGCTCCCAGGAGGGCCACGAAACGTGTGAGGGGTGTGCCGAAATTGGAGGTGGAACCGCATGCGAATCCTGCCTCTGGGGCCGGGTGGAACTCCAAATGGGGCCACAAAACGTGTGAGGGGTGTGCAGAAATTTGGGGGGAACCACGTGCGAACCCTGCCACTCGGGCATTCGGTGGAGCTGCCTACGGGGCCGCGAGACGTGTG